AGAAATAAATTTTTGAAAGATTCACATGAGTAAAAGTCCTTAGTAGGCTGCTGTCATTGGAGGATTACAATGAATATTGTTTGGTTAGACTGAAAAAGGAAAACATTTGTGTTAATTCTGTGCGTGTGTGTGTACTGGGGTGTGCATTCACCCTATTAAAACTGAGCTTCTACATGCGTATGTAGAACCTTCAAAAATGGTTATGTGTATGTCTTCCCTGCAGGATCAGCCTCCAACTTCAGCTTTTTCCGGTGGATGAGGTCTCTCTTGCTCCCCTCCTGCAGGTCTGTGCCAGTGTGGATGAGTGTCCAGAGTCCTGGGAGGTGCCAAGGGTGTCCCATTCGTGGCTGGGCTTGGGCCTGGATTGTGGCATGGGAACCTAACAACTGGGCACCTCAGGGAGACCAGATATTGCTCTCATCTGCACTCCACCACTCGGCCCCCAGATTCGGCTCATCAGAAGCTTCCTCTAGGCTCATGTCCTCTTCCCTTCTTGTCCTCAGTCATCAAGAACAGAGGCTTTATTTAGAATCTGGCTGCTGGGGTGATAAGTCATTACTCTCAGTGAGTTTACAGTCGAAGACACATTAGCATCAATGCATAATCACACACAAGATTAAAGCCCAAGGGAAATGTAACGCTAGGACGCACATTATTCCATCTGAGTCAGAGGTAGTTGACATGATGGGGTTGGGGACAGTGCAGAGGCCAAGTATAGAAATAAAGTGGAGATCCTGGAGGATTTCTGTGGGACCTCTATGGTCAGATACACAGGAAAGGGGAAAAAAAACTTTTCCTAAGAAATAGAAGCCTCCTAGAGAAGGTATATTTCACATGTGCCCTAATCTCACTCCTTCTCCTCCACTCTTGCAGTACTACTGCTTCTTACCTTTTAAGGCCCTGGGATTCTGGGGAATGACACCCTTCCGTCCCCTTTCAATATCAGTGAGGAGCTAGAGCTGCAGGCTAGGAAAATCCAGGCAAAACCCAACCCAGTGTTCATTTGGTTGCATTTTGTTGGTTTTTGAGACTCTAGATGTCCGAGTTGTACTTGCTAGTATTTCCACCCTCCATGTCCAGACATTGCTAGTGAATCATGGGATCCTTTGCCATTGATCCCAGATGTAACTTCATAGCCCTATGAAGTTGGGTGCTGTGGCTCATGCCTGTAATCTCAGCACTTTGGGAGGCCGAGGCAGGCAGATCACCTGATGTCAGGAGTTCAAGACTAGCCTGGCCAATATGGTGAAACCCCATCTCCACTAAAAATACAAAACTTAGCTGGGC